TATATATATATATATATATATAATTATTATTAATGATAGTACTAATAATAGTGATAGTCTTGCTTATGTCAATATACGCTATAGCAAAATCTCTATTCGTCAACGAAAAATCCTACTGTTGCTCATACTGCTCACCCCTAGTCAGAATGTTTCGTTCCTTTGCAAAGACTCCCAAAGAATGGCTTAAACTACCTCTATGGAAAAGCCCATGGAGTTAATGAGCTCTCTCCGCTGGTCTGACTGCTTCTCATTATTTTGGCATTGTGTGTGTGAATTTGAATGGATAGAGGGGGCTGTGGAGGTATGCATGCATGCATTTGTGCGTGTACATTCATGCATTCCTCCGTCTATACGTGCATCAGTGCCCTGTGTGTGCATGCGTGTGCCAGCACTACATGGTGACATCTCAACCAGCTGCTCGCAGGCAGTAAAACCTCTCGGGCACTATTGTGTCCAGCCTCGGTTTCCTCCGGCTTTAAGGGAGACACTACAGGGACTGTCCCTCACCCTGGCAGCACAGGCAGGGCATTCATCTGTCAGATATGTCCTCCGTGAGCCTCTGCTCTCTCTCCTCCAGCTCCGAGCACAGAGACACTATTCATCAGAGCACTGTGTCGCACACGACACAGACCTTTAAAAGACACAGGGAGGGATTCACGCAGAATGAATTGCGCCCGCTGATAGCGTTGGTTCTTTGCTGTCTGCGTTGTTTCAGCACTGAACGATGCAAACAAGGCCAAAAAATGTTGCACTGGGCGCAGTTTGTATGGCACAATTCCAGATATTGTGGGCACTGGGGAGTTTCTGTGTACAGAGGTGCATAATTAGCATTATACCACAGGGATCCTGAAGAAAGACGTAGCTGCAGGCTGTGGCTGCATCTCATTTCACATCACCTACTATCCCAGATATTATGTTAAAAACAGAAAGACAAAGGTGCTCTGATAATGTACTATTTCCACTGAGTATGCCATATCAGATTTTCTGATGTTCCAGTGGCAAAATTTGTGTATACATTCTCAAAAATACACTTTTACATTATCAGTGAAGTACAGTAACAAACAAAACTTTAGGTTTGTGAGGGTTTTAAAAGAAGTCTCACCAAGGCTGCATTTATTTGATCAAAAATATAGTAAAAACGGTAATATTGTGAAATATGATTACATTGTAAAATAACTTTAAAATATTTTAAAATGTGGTTTATTCCTGTGATGCAAATATGAATTTTCAGCAGCCATTACTCCAGTCTTTAGTGTCACATGATCCTTCAGAAATCATTCTAATATGGTGATTTGATGCACAAGAAACATTTCTTATTGTTATTAGTGTTGAAAACAGTTGTGCTGCTTAATTTGTCTGTGGAGACTGGGATGTGTTTTTTTCTAGGATTCTAGCATGAAATAGAAATCTTCTGTAACATGTCTTTAATGCTACTTTTAAACAAATTTAATGCATACTTGCTGAGTAAATGTATGAATTTCTTTTTAAAAAGTCAATTATTATGTAAAGAGATTTTTGTCTAAAAAAACAAGTATTCAGCAATTTCTTATTTCTTACTCTAGCACAAGAACTCAAAGACCAAAAATTGTGTACCTGATAATTCATCTGTGTATTTTATCATTCTCCTGCAACCACAGAGAATTATGGGATACATTTTTATCACACAAGACTGACGTCTCCTAAACTAGCTAATTGAGTCGATTTTTATTTCTATAGCAAACATTATTGCTACTGTATCAGTAACAGTAGTGAATACAAACTAAAATGTATGGTCAACATTCACAATGCAAACTATGTAATAAATATCAATTTGCTTCCACCATGATACATGAATTAATGCCTCCAGTCCGAAAAGAGTTTCCCACTGGTAGTCACAACTTTGTGATTGCGTTCATGCGGTGCTCATCTCGTAAATACGATCATTCCTACACGACTCGAAGGCAGCGTGTGTCCTGACAGGGGAGGTCTGTTAGTAATCAAACACCTGCTGGCTATCTGCTACACTGCATCAATCACCTGTTAGCTTGAGCTCAAAACTCTCGCAAACCACTGTGAACTCACGGTAGGAGAGCCGTAGACGGGGGTGCGAAGGGGACATGGAGCTCTCTGTGTTGGAAATTAGCTGTTCTCTACTGTTCTCCTGCACAAAGACCCTCCACTGAATCACTCAATAGCAGAGATGTTTTGTCTTGATTGAAGCTAAACTACTCTATTCCTCTCTTTCTTTTTTCCTTTTTTCCCTTTAACAGTTGTAGGGGGTTTCTGCGGTACACAATGAGCTATCACAATGAGCCAGTCAAACGCTGTGATTTTGTTGAGAGGACAGTGATGGAGTGCTGTTGGTTGACTGTGGCTTTATTAAGGTGGCGCGTAGAGCAGTGATACACGTGTCTATTGGCACTGTGCCAGGCTCTAGCACTCTTGTGCCAGAGAACAGGGGTTGTGCTTGTCCAGGGGGCCGAATTGCAAATATTTATTTAAGTGTCAAAGACCAGCCGCACTTGTGGGTGGCATTGTAAACGAGAGGACAGATGGAGTCCGTGGTGTGTAAATGTGTCGGGAAGGGGTTTGGAGCAAATAGACAAAATGTAAAAATCAATGGAGCATTGCACTACAGTCATAGACCCTGTTTACGCCTGCTATTAGGATCTTGGGTGATCTGATCACAAGTGATCTTGGATTTTGTAACTATAAAAATCAATTATTATCTTGGTGTTTTTCTGCATGTTGAAGTTCAAAAAGGTAAAAAAAAATTTAAAGGAAATTTCTCATAAATATATATTGTATTATACTGTATATTTATGATTGTTATATAAACAGGACCATTCAAAAGTGTTTTTTTTAGCAAGCATTAGACTGATTAAAAAGGAGCGTAAAGGCATTCACAATGTTACAAAAGATTTCTATTTTATTTGCTATTCTTTTGAATTTTCTATTCATCAAAGAAATCTGAAAGAAAAAATATATCACTGTTTCCACAAACTGTTCGACAACTGTTTTTAACATTGATAATAATAAGAAATATTTCTTGATCACCAAATCAGCATATTAGAATGATTTCTGAAGGATCATGTGACACTGAAGACTGCAGTAATGCCTGCTGAAAATTCAGATTTGCATTACAGAAATAAATTACATTTTAATTAAAAAAATATAAATATTTATTTATTTTAAATTGTAATAAAATGTCACAATATTACTGTAATAACTGTAGTTTTTATCAAATAAATGCAACCTTCGTGAGCATTAGAGATCCTGGTGTAATACGAGATCATTTGTGAACCAAACTCAATCTCTTTCTCTCTCCTCTTGTAGAATGTGTTGGCAAAGGCCCTGTACGACAATGTGGCGGAGTCTTCGGATGAGATGTCCTTTCGCAAGGGCGACATCATGACCGTCCTGGAGCGGGACACGCAGGGGCTGGAAGGCTGGTGGCTCTGTTCACTACACGGCCGTCAAGGCATTGTTCCTGGCAACCGGCTGAAGATCCTTGTGGGCATGTACGATAAACATCAACAGCAGCAGTTACAGCAGCCAATGAGCCAACCAAGCCCAACCCAGAGCCATCTCAACCTGCCTCAGAGTGCCTACAATCTTCCCCCTGCGTCCCAGTATACGGCCATGCACCCTGCCTTCTCCTCCAGCTCTGCCAACTCAACCAACCCAGATGGCGTCTACATGCTCCCCCCCAGCCACGGTCTGCCCGCCCCCTCCAGCCTCTACCAGGTGCCCACCGGCCCCCAACCTCCACAGCCCAAACCCAAAGCCCCTGCTGTGGCACAAAAGCAAAGCCATGCACAGTACCCTCCCACCCCACAAGATGTCTACCAGGTGCCCCCCTCCATTAATGTTCCAGGCCAGGACATCTACCAGGTGCCACCCACTGCAGGAGGGCCGTGTCCAGGGCAGGATGTGTACCAGGTGCCACCCTCTGTGAACCAGACACAGGACGTTTACCAGATTCCCCCATCAATAGAGAGGAGCTGGGACTCTCCCAAACCCATCGGGAAGGTAGGAAAATACTTTTTGTATACACATATGTGTAACACATTTTCAGACATTTACTTTCATTACAAACAGCAAATCTATCTATCTATCTATCTATCTAAAATATTGGTTTTCTGGATGAAGAGTTCAGATGCAAAAGCCTTTAAGTGCAGTCTAAAATTTTCATATAAAATGAGCATTTTTATCAGGCTCCTATATTTATGTTCAGTTATTTCACTTTAATGGCATAGAAAAGGACCTATACATTGCCATTAAAGTAAAATTACTGAACCTAAGCATAGGAGTTTTTTTTTTCTTTTTTATTGTATATATTAAAACACATATTACCTTTATCCACTGCTATTTCAATCTAAAATATGTCATATTTGGGAAGTAAAACAGAAACAGCATTTAAAGTTGGCCATGGTCATATACAAGGACGTGTGATATCTTGGAAAACACACAGGAAGACAAGAGAAATATAGGCAGAGGAAAGGAGGGTGTGTGAGGGAGGAGAGGAGGGTGTGAAAGACAAGTCATAAATAATGCAGAGTTTGATAATGCTGGTGACCGTGGGCAGCACAGAGTGAGCAAGCAGTTTTTTTCAAGTGGTAACTACAGGTTGAAGCTGTGGGCAGTGATGGTCCCTTGAGAGAGCGTTGCAGGCCACTCTTAGGGCACTGAGCCATATGCCACGACTGCCGCAGCGGCGGGGGAAATGAAGTGTAAAGATGGAAGAATGAAGTGAGGAGAGGTTCAGCTGCAGGCCTGCTCACTGTTAGCCACCTGTCAACTCTGCTCTACCTACAGCCATAAAGATGAGACATGACTCAGTGTCACTGGTTCTGGTCATTGTGACATGGTTACATATATATTTAAAACTATAGCATGCTAATGAGACGCTATGATATTAGCGTGACCACATCATTACTTACTTGATGATTATAAAACAGCTGAATGTGGTCAGGCAGTTTCAACCTCTATGACATTCTCATTGTGTGGAAAGTTTTCATTGCAAAAAAGTACTGTGGCGGCACCTTGGTACAGTAAAGGTATTGTGTTATACAGGGTTTCCACGGTTCTGGAAAATCATCGAAATTTAAAAGTATAATTTCCAGGCCTGGAAAAGTCTTGGAAATAAATATCATGTATTTTGTAGTCCAGGGTTTCCCAAACTGGATTTTGTGAGGAAACTGCAGTGGGCTTGTGAGTTGATAGATATAATAATTATAATAATTCATAAAAATGAAAAATTTAAATAAATAAATAAATAATCGAGAAATAAAAAATCGAAATAATTTTTTAAAAACTTACTAAAAAATTTTTATTTGTTTACCTTCATGTCATGTGACCATTTGCCAACATCAGAGAACCATGAACGAGCAAATGTGTTGGTAAATGATTAAAATATTAACTTAACATAATCTCAGGGGGTACTTCAATTAAATATTTTCAGTCAAAGGGGTTCTGCTGAAAAAAGTTTGGCAATCCCTGCTATAGTCAATATAAACATATCTAGTCTTGCTATTTGGCTAGAAAGTGCTCTTTGTGTGTATTATTTACAAAGTGATTTTAAGAATCCTTATCTAGTCATCATAAATGACTGGAACAGTCCTGGAAAAATCATGGATTAATGGACCATGGTGTTTACATGGTTTTCAAGGTATCGCAAAGAATACAAAGGCATTATCATGGTACGTCCAAAAATCTACATGAATTTTTGTCATTGTAAAATGGTTGGCAAGTTTTTTCCCCCACTTGTCAACCAGTAAGTTTAATTTATTTGAGAGAAAAAAAAGTAAATCAAAAGTAAATGAAAAACTATTCTGGCCTTGGAGCTCTGCCATTCAAAGGCGTGACTGAAAGTAATCAAACTGAAATACCTCAACAAGATTCTGATTATTCACATTTTATAAGTGGTTTAAGCTTTAGCTCAGCTTTGATTTGAGGATTTTTGTATGATTTTTTTTTTGTCTATCCTCATCCTTGGTTTTACAAGCAACCATTTTTTCCTTTACTATATTCACTTTGTACAGAGTCTGTGAGAAACTACCAGCAATTTATTGCCTCTCGTGTCATATGAGTAGTTGACAGTCAGTTGGATGTTGGTAGAGTCCATGCTGCAAACCCAACGGCTGAAGGATCGAAACTGATGGCAGTGACCCAAGAACTTACTAAGCACCCTGAGTACTGCAGTGAGGGGACAGAAATGGTGTGGATCAGTAGTCAAATCCAGAGCAGAGTCCAGTGAGGAGTACAGTGCTTTCGTTCTTCAGGGTTTGGTGCTGCATTAAAGCCAAAGATAATGCAATCTCATGCCTGCTTCCAGATGACAGATACATTCTGTTACTGCAGTTCTCCATCTTTGAACACTGTTACTAGAGCAGTTTGAGAAGGAAAAGATTGAAAGAGAATTAGGAACACAAGGCTTGTATCATCATGTCTTTCCGCGATCCTTCTCAGAAGCATTAGTTCTACGTTTCTATGTGCAATGCTTGTCTTGAGGTTTTCTTTTCATGTGGTTTATGAGGGGAGATTTTGATGTGTTTTCTCCTAATGTCCTCTATATTATGATCACTTGTCCTTGTGCCCACAGTTCCTCCACCGCTGACAGTTTTTCATTATGTGATAAGAGTTCCTGCTGAGAAAGGAGAGAATGGATACACGCATACACACACACATATAGAAGAGTGCTGAAAACACCTTTATAGTCTTGCTCTGCTTAATAAAGGAATGTATTCCAGTGCAGAAGTGCGGCTCACTAATGTAACTAAATCAAAGGCAGCAAGCAGTGTGAGTTATGCTGGGGTAAAGTAGAGTGCAACAGAGGCTGTTTATTTTTTACCAAGTTTTTTATTGTTTGTATTGTGTTTAAGAGTTAAACCAAATCAAATGGATCTGATATCTATCACAAAAAGTACAAAATTTGAGTCAGTGAAAAAAAAAAAGATCAAAAGTGACCGTAAAAACATTTAAAATTGTACAAAATATTTCTATTTCAAATATAAAAGTTAATTTTAAAATACATTAAAATGCAAAACAGTTATTTTAAATTGTAATAATATTTAAAAAATATGACTGTTTTACTGCATTTTTGATGATTAAATGCAGCCTTGGTGAGTATAACAAATTCATCAAAAACATTGAAAAATCCTATACCCCAAACTTTTCAACAGTAGTGTATATGGTAAATAAATATATATCAAATATATGCAGATATTTAAATTGTTTGAAAGAAATAGAATCAATTACATCATTCATAGTGCTTCATGGGAGTGGATAGTCACTGTTGAGCACTTTTGCAGTGATTCCTGTTGAGTGACTATATCTCTCTTTGGGATCATGGGTAGTGTAGTTCTTTGGTGGGAATTTGGCTATTAATTCTGATTTAAATAAGATCTTCTAAGTGGAAGTGCCTAGCTGTGGACAGACTCACCCAGGTGATACTGTGGCAGCAGTTAGAGGAGTTATATGATGATTTTGCATGGGGTCAGGGTTAGGATCAAGGGATTGTGATAAAGCAGCTGGAACAACTGAGATGTGTGTCACATCAAAGACATGCACAGGCTGGGTGTGTTAGCACGTGACCCACAAAGCCCCAACACGCTCCTCCAACAGCAAGGACTTTAATTCTCCCTTACTTTGCCCCGTCTTAATGAATCATCATGAACTCTTATTTATGGAAGTAATTTCTGCCTTTAGAGTAAAGAAATAAAACAGATAATTGTGAGATTAAAGATTAAAATAAGAAGTAACTAAAATCACATTGTGATTTATTACAATAAATTGCCGTAATTCAGAGAAATAAAGTTGTAATTGTGAGAAAAATGCAGTCCTAGTTATCATATTGGAATTGAGCTTCCATAACCATTTGCTCTGTTGGTTTAGTTTCTCCCTCCATTTCATTCGCTAAGAAGCTGAACTCAGTGACTCACATCAAGAAAAATTAGATAAGAATGAACACTAAACATTATGACATGCTTCAATCAAACGGTAAGCTATCTGTGAAGATGTTTCTTACGAAATGAGACTGTAATACTGGATGTGCCCTTCAGTTACAAGAATAAGATTTGTACATGTTTGCGACTCACCACCGCTAAGACTCGCCTGCTGTCCTGCTTACACATTAACCAAAGTGAGCTTACACTATCAACTCAAGTTGCACATTGACCATTAGAGTAAATAAAACTGACGGAAGAAGAAAGATTTGAGCGTAAGTTGTTGGTCCGGTTTAGGACTATGTGAGCGTGTCACAAAGAGGGTGAGGTGTTTAGTAGAGGTTGACCGATAGTGGATTTTGCCGATACCGATAGCTAGGTTGGACCACACTGGCCGATACCGATTAATTAACCGATTAATTTAAAATTGATACTGAACAAAAACTAAAATAGTGCTTTATTAACAAAAACAGTACCGAACCATACTAGTAGTGGTAAAAAAATAATAGTAATAGTAAATGTTGAAATTAACACACTCTAACAAGGAACAATACTTACACAGCTTTCATTAATCTTAATGCTACAAATGGACTCTTATTTTAAAGTGTTACCATTTCATTTCAACTGTCATGCTTAAAGATGCACATCTTTAAATATATACACAAAGGCTATAGAATTAAAATTATATACATATGGATATTGTATGTATACTCTCACACTTTAACTTTTGCTGAATATGCACAATACACAATTCATTATGTACATTAACAACAATTCGGGACCAATATAATGTAATTTAAAGGAAAACTATGTGAATGGCGCTCTGTGGCGCGGCAGGATTTTCTGTCGGCTGCATTTAAATCCGCGTCTGAAGTTTCCCGCTCTGTTCAGCGTGCAGTATCACGTGTCTAAACAAATAGCACATGCTGTCAGTGATTTCAACCACTAGAGGCTGCTCTCGCACTGTATAATGACAGCAGACCCTTCTCAGCCGCTTCAGCAATGGACGCAACCCGGAAAACAATCTGCATGGATTTTTGCCGATAACCGATAGTTCCAGCAATCAACTATCGGTGCCGATTAATC